CACACCACCGATTCTGTAAAACCTCTGCACTGCCTACTCACTTGCCCAGGACACATTTCAACCACCAGCACCAGCTCTAACGCATTTTCAACTTACTCGATACCTTGGTTCCAGGAGGAAACGTAACACATCCATATGAATATAACAGGGTGGAAAGAGCCAGGATGGGTGAAGAGTTGCCGGACATCAAGCTCCTCACCCACTGCATGGAGAGAATCCTGCCCCTCAGAGGACAGAACTGGGACTTCTCCTGCTGGGGATGCTGAGACATCCATTTCCCAATGATGGAGTAAGTACCGTTCTTCATTCCACTGTCACTCCCACGTTAACCCCACTAACAATGTCATTCATCGCTCATCACGGCAATACCTTCTCTCCTTTGTGCCCAGCAGGTACCAATGGGATGGCCATGGCCGGAGGAGAAGTGAGCTGCTCCACCGAAGGAACCTCAAGGCTGAGGAAAACTTCCAGGGAGGCATCACAAGGCTGCCTCCTGCACCCTCTGCCAGCTCAGATACCGGCACTTTGGTGACAGTGTCAGATTTATTTTTTATTTATTCATTTACGGGATGAAGGCATTGCTGGCTAGGCAGCCCTAATTGCCCAGAGGGCAGTTAAGAGTCAACCACATTGCTGTGGGTCTGAAGTCACATGTAGGCCAGATCAGGTAAGGATGGCAGTTTCCTTCCCTAAAGGACATTAGTGAACTTTTCTGAAGAAGGGTCCAGACCTGAAACGTCAGCTTTCCTGCTCCTCTGATGCTCCTTGGCCTGCTGTGTTCATCCAGCTCTACACCTTGTTATCTTAGTGAACCAGATGGGTTTTTCCCAACAATTGACAATGTATTCACGGTCATCACTAGACTCTTAATTCCAGATATTTACTGAATTCAAATTCCACCATCTGCTGTGGTGGGATTCAAATCCACATCCCCAGAATGTTATCTGGGTCTCTGGATTAACAGTCCAGTGATAATACCATTAGGCCAATCACCTCCCCCCAAATGTAGAACATTTGGGAGCTGGTGAGCACTTCAGTGCAACAGCGCCGCAGTCGACCAAGGGAGAACCATCCCAGACCACTGGCACTCAGAGAGCAGCTGGAGACTAGGCACCTGCTGTCCTTCAGGCAGGTGAGAACCCTGTGGGGTCTGCATACAGGGGTATTGTCCAAAGGGAGCAACAGGAGCAGAAGACAGGTATGTAGGAGGCAATGGCTCTCATTGCCCAGAGACTGCAGAATGGCAGCAACACTATGGGTACTCAGCGGGCTCAAGATCATCTGCCTGCTTCCACGAATAGGCTGGCAGCTGCCATGGAGAACATGGATGTGTGAAAACTGCACTCCATAGCCTCAGTCCTTGCTCCTCAGGACTGAAGGCATGGCAGTAGCTGGGTGGGGGGGGTGGGGCGGGAATGGGGAACCTGACCCTCTCTCCAGGTGCCTCTTCATCTCACACGGTCAGGGCAGTGCCAGGAGGCACCCAGCAGAGGGTGGAAACACACACACACACACACACATCTCTGCTCAGGGCACTCCAAAGGTAACCAGGCCCTCCACCTTCACCCTGCCTGCCACAGTTCAAACCAAGGAGGGTCCAATCGCCTCTGAAAAGATGAGCTTCAGCATGTCAGAACTATCTGGACACAAATGACTCTGGGGTTACCTATCAAATCTCCAAGGCTATGAGACTCCACTGCTAAGTGGGTTTCCTTCATCGAAACCGTGGAATCTAGAACAACACTGAAACACACTGAGGAAAAAGAGTCTTTCGTGGGCATTTTGGTGACATTGCTTATAAAGTGTCACGTTTCCATAAATGTGAATGGTTTTGCAATGTATCTGTTTGTTTGAAGCTCTGAGTAACCCAGAATGTAACTGTGCTAGCCTGATGCCTAACTTCATTCCCTTGGTATGAAGGAAGGGGCCAGCGATGTCTAGGACAGGCTGTGTACAGCACACAGGGTAGCAATGCAGTAAGGATCACCAGGAATTGGGGCACTCGGGTGTCTGTATCCAGAACAGTGCATACGTGTGTGCGTAATGTTCTTGCCTTCAAGAGGACCTTGCATCGGTGAGTCTTGCAACCTTCTCCTTCATGGATCCAGGTACTGTGCCCACTCCAGGTGTGGTTGCAGACAATTCCTTTCCTACTGTATATTTTGGATTTCTGTTACGATGGAAGATAAGCACTCTTCAGACAGTGCTTTCCAGCCGCTACCTCTAAGTATTGAAGAGGAAGTACTGATGAGCCTCAAACATCCAGTTCCTCTTCCTGGTAGTTCTCCCTGTGAAACACCTTGGCTTTGCACCTCAGGTCCCCACCTAACCAGTCCATAAGAGTCTGAACCTGCCCATTTTACTCTCCCTACACCTGAAAACCTACATCCCTGGCATTGGAGGTGACTATGCCAGCAGGAGTGATCAGACACTAGTTCCTGCACCCCCACCTCCCCTCCCCCCACTGCCTTTTGAAGCCAGGGTGCTCTTGACCGTTGACCATACCACTTCCCATATTAGCTCATTCCCATCCATGCTTTATTAACTTTCCCCTTATAATACTGCTCCCCCCTTCACAATTATCATCTCCTCCCTAACCCTTATTCCCCACAAATAGGTTCCCAAGTCTCCTTCCCGTGGCAGAAGCCCCCCTTGTTCTGATGGACTGACCGTAGCCCACACCATTGAGTGACCTTGAGTCTTAGATGAGAAGTGCCCAGACCCCTGACTGATGACTGTATATCTCCAGACGGAGTTATCCCTGTCTCCCCTGGACTGGCTGCTTTGGAGCCACATGATCCACTCCACAGACTGGAAAGACTTGGAACCCCTGACCAATAACACCCTGACCTGACCATGGCCAATCCCCTGGACGGGTGTGGGAGGCTGCTGCTGTCTTACTGTGCCAATATCCCTGACTAACGGGTACCTCTATGGACTTCTGTGAGGACTACTCCCCTAAGAATTTGAGACAGGGCTGCTTGCTTGCAGCATGTACAGTGAAAGATGCTGGCCCATGGTGTGGGTGTGAGATTGATGTTGCGCAGTGCTATGCAGCAAAATGTGTGCCCCTCGCTGACCAACAAGCTTGTGTCACTGTGTTAATAGGCAAGGCAAGGTAAGGCAGAGAAGCAGTGAGCATCCAGAGAGAGCACTAAGAGAGCAAGCGAGCAGTCCTGAGATACAGCCTGGCTCAATGCCTGAGCCTGCATATAAATATCCTTGCCACACTATTTCAGTGCTAGTTGCTGGTGTGTCCTGAAATGCAGGTTTTAACTTCCTATGTATCCTGCAAGCAGCTTGGAAAGGGGCCATGAGGATCCTGAAGGTTTGGTGATTATTGAATGTCAATGTCAGTGGATGATAAATGCAGGTGCCCATGGACCGTGTCCCAAGATGCTGTTACGTGTGACCAATATACAGACTCTTTACAGCCAGCGGTGAGCTGACATTGCCATTTAACTGCTCTGACTTCCATGTTTGAGAATTCTCAGCATCTAGTTTGCTCATGGTGGGTTGTAGAATGGATAGATGAGATGCGCAGTTAATGAGATTATAAAGAAGAAATAATTGCCTTAATAAGCTGCTGCCTAGCAATAATCTCACCTTGGCAACTGGAACTTAGAAGATACGGCAAGTTGCTCCTGACCCCAAGATAGGCCTCGGTGGACTTCTTGCAAAATTCTGCCACACTTCTCGCCATAGTCCACATGTTCAGCTCCCTATTAGCTTTCACCCTTTAACTACAGGAACAGTGAAGAGAGAAAAGAAACCTTAATGAAAAGTTTATGAAAAAGATGGTGCTGAGAACTCTGTTTTCATGGCATCTTATAGCTTTATTAATGGGAGATTGAAGCTTCTTCATTGAGTTGCGTGTCAATACTTTGCTATCACATGATCAAAAGTCACCCTTGTGAAAGGCTGTGATTACAAGCTTTTCTGTTGGTTATAGAAGGCAGTAACATTAAGAAGACCTGCTTAATGGAATAGACAGTAGTTCTTTCTCAACAGTTTTATTTTCAAGTTTGGATTCTATCTCTATTACAAGTTAGAATACATCAAAATGATAGAAAGTTAAAAAATATGAGGTACTTCAAGTGCCAGAGCATCTTTTCGAGAATAGGGGCGGTACGATGGTTCAGTGGTCAGCACTGCTGCCTCACAGCGCCAGGGACTCGGGTTCGATTCCACCCTCAGACAACTGTCTGTGGGGAGTTTGCACATTCTCCCTGTGTCTGCATGGGTTTTCTCCAGTTTCCTCCCACAGTCTAAAATATGTGGATTGGCTATGCTAAATTGCCCAAGGTGTCTAGGGTGGGAAATATAGGGATGGTGTGAGGGGTGGGATGCTCCTTGGACAGTCAGTGTGGACTCAATGGGCTGAATGGCCTGCTTCCACACTGTAGGGATTCTATTCTATTAGGTCTGATCTCAGTTTAGAGAATCTGCTTTCAAAAGACTAACCAGCTTACATCTGTCATAACATAACTGAGCTTTCTGACAACAAAAGAAACATTAGAACATATTATTTTATTTTACTTTTTTTTAAAACTTCATTTCTCCCACCCTGTAACTTGTTCTGTTTTCTTTTGAGCATGTATATGTTACAGGATTTGGTACAGGCTTCAACAATTGACAATGATTATATGTTTTAACTAAGTGAGTGTGTTTAAAAATAATAAAACAAAGTCCCTACTTGCTACCTCAAGGAATTTGGCTCACTTTGTAGCTTTACTTTTGATGAAGTATGTCCTGTGTTGAAGGTAGCCCGATTTTAAAAATAATTAAATTCTTTTATACTAACTAATTTATTCATGCTTTGGAGTTGGTCACGGCACATACAGGAATGATTTAAAAGAAAGATATTACATTGCTGATGTAGCAAAAGTGTGATACAAATTCACTGGAGGACATAACGGCAAGAAGCTTTTTTTTATTTCAAAAATATCCTTTATTCATAAAATATCTTTATATACATACATAATCACTAAAGCAAGAAACAGTTAACCCAGTGGAAATTCTGTATAGGAAGTTACATAGCCTAAGAAATTAAGTAATTGAGCTAGAAACATAAATTCAGCTTGTTGATTCATGTTGCTAAAAACAGGTAATGATTGTGACCTAAATATTCCAAGTTATTGAATCTTTAGAAAGGATAGGACAAATGAGAAAAGGGGGAGGAATATGGACCAAAAGAACAATTACTGTGATAGAAGGGATTTTAGGTAAAGGGTGATCAGCCCATGCAAACACTGGGATTGAGTTAACAAACAACAAAGGATATATGACTCTAGCATGCTTAATCTACAGCTCTCCTGATAGTAGTCATTTTGTGTGAGGGAGGGGTGTTGTGCAAATATGGAGATTATGAAAGCCTGCAGCAAAAGCAGTTTGGCTATGGCAGCTTTTTTTAAAACGTAACTTAATAGAAACAGAATAGCTGAAATAGAACAGGGACAAAGATTCTTTGAGCTGATTTTTACCTCAGCCAACCCAGGGAACAGTGGAATGGGCAGGGGGTGGAGAGTGGTTTAAATGGTGACCTGTGGAAACTGTTGCATACCCCCAGGGTTCCCACTATTTTAACACCTGGATCTCTGTTTGCCACAGGAATACTGTGTAATTAAAATGTGAATTGTGTATCCTGATGATGTATTGTGGGCATAATGTGATTTTTACCAAAAATCATAGGAGTTGTATCGGGGCAAAATCAGAAACATAATCTGGTGGCAGAGTCTGCTGAGATCAGAAGAGGTGAGGTCAGAATTTAAATCAATCTTTCCTCAAAGGCCTAGAGAAACTGGAATGTTCCATTTGAACCCGCCTACAGGGAATTTTTGGACATTTCCTATATTTTCCTTGTCTGTACTTTCCAATACCGACACACCTTCAACCCCCTTCTTCCCAGCATTAACTTCATGCTGGTGGCCATTCCCCAGGGATCTAACATCCTGGGGCTATCAGCCCAGTTTCTGCTCCAGCCGTAATCTGAGATTTAATTAAAGTTTTCAGTTGGCCCAGGCATTTGGCTGAATTCATCATGGGGAACCTCTGTCCACTCTGCATTTCACCTATGTACAATATACTCTGAGATAAAATCCATGAAAATAGAGTCAGGGGGAACTTAGAAAAAAAGTGTCTGAAAAAATCTAGTTGCATTTCACCGACATAGTAACAGAGAAGCGTCAATGCATCTTGGCAATAGGGATTTCCAGTAAGATCCACTCACAACAGATTATTATTCACTGTCCTGACTTCAAATATATCCCCGTTCCTCCAGTGTCCCTGATTCAAACTCCTCAAATTCCCTCCATAAGGGCATTGTGGGTCAACCTACAGCACATGGACTGCAGCGATTCAAGAAGGCAGCTCACCACTACTTTCTCAAAGGCATCTAGTGTCAGGTAATACATGCTGGCCCAGCCACCCACTTTCTGAAATGGAATTTTTTAAATTAGCAGACATGTGACCAAGGAAGAAGAGCAGGCCACTTGGCCATTTGTGACTACTCCCTCTCAATAAGATCAGGATCTGATTTGAACCTCAACTCTACATTCCTGTTATACCCATGATTACCTTCCATCTATCAAACAAGAAAGCACAAAGAATTGCAGGTAACCTTGTGATGTAGGCTAGAATTGTTCGGGAAATTGGAGTCAGAGTATTAGAATAAAGGAATTGGAAGGAGGTATTGCACTGATTTGCTCCTGCTGCTCAGCTTATGACTTTTCCCAATTTCAGGGAATGTGCAGATATTATGACAGGGGGCTCTCGAAGGTGCATCGTCGTCTCCACACTGGCTGAAGCATGTTTCTATGCTGACCATGGCTTTGATGACATCCTTTATGCTTACCCACTCCCTTTCGACAAAGTGGACATCTGTGCTGAGCTAGCAGAACGCCTGGAGATGTTCCACGTGATGATTGACAATGAGCTGGCCCTAGCAGAGCTCGCAAAGAGGCGACTGAAAGATGGGAAAGCATGGCTGGTCTGGCAGAAGGTGGACTGCAACAATGGAAGAGGTAAACTAATGTGGAATATTACACGCACTGGGAAAGAAAATAAGAAAGAAATTGAAATTCTATAGCAGCTTTTATAATCCAAGTGCTTCATAGTCAATTAAGTCAATGAAGTGATGTTGGTTGAGGGATAATGTTTGCCAGGACACAGGGGAGCACACTCCTTCTCATCTACAAATATGCCATGGGATCTTTTACATACATGTGACATTAATGGCTTAGTCCCTCTCCATCCCTATAGTATCCTGCAACCCCACAATACTCTGATATTACTCATCTCTTATATGTTATTATACAATATACAAATCTGAACTCCTGAGCATCTCCAATTTTTAACACACAACCATCGATGAAAGAATATATGCAGGAATGGAGAGTTGAGGTTAGAATTAGATCAGCCATAATCTTATTTAATGGCAGAGCCAGCTCAGAGGTCTGAGTGACCTGCTCTTGTTTCTTGTTTGTTTGTTCCTATTGCCTGCAACTGCTAAGACTCTGAGATTTGGAATTACCTTTCTGAATCACTCTGTCTCTCTACTTGTCTTTTCACCTTTAAAACAATATTATTTAAAATCTATCACTTTGAAGAAAGGAGAGTCAGGATACCAGACAGATGGGTTTTCATGTGGAATGAGGATACTGGATCAATGAGGTTTCGATAGGAAAAAATGAGGCATTATGACAGTATGCGTCAGTTCCATTGGTATCGCTCTAATCTCCACATCAGAACATGGTGTGTTCAACCCTACTCTAGAGACCTGAATATGTAATTCAGCATCATACTTCATTGCAGTACTGAAGACCTGTTTCTCCACCACCTCCATTTAGGTGGGTGTAGGATTCTGTGGCATATTTAAAGAAAGTTATCTTGACCTACATCTGTCACTCAGGCAACATCAACTAAATAGATAATCAGATTATTATCACATTGTTTGCAGGACATAGGTATACTGATAGGCTGCTGCATTCCCCTACAGACTGTGAGATTCTGTTCTTCGAACTTGCGCTGAGGCTTGCTGGAACCTTGCAGCATACCTTTCCTTCCCACTACAATGATAGGGACCCCATGCCCTCACTTACCACCCCACCAGCCTCCACATCCAAAGGATCATAAATGCCCTTTCTGTCACTTCCAGTGGGATGCCATGACCATACACATATTCCCCTCCTCTTCCTTTGTCAGCATTCCTCAGGGACTCTTCTCTCCGGGTCATCCTGTTCTACTCCCCCTCCATTCCCAACAGCTCCCTACAGCCCCACAGCATCTTTCCCTGCAATCGCAGAAGATGTAAAACCTACCCATTTACCTCCTCCCTCCTGACAACCCAAGACCCCAGATACCTTCCAGGTGAAATAGCGGTTTACCTGCATTTCATTCAATCTAGTCTACTGTATTCGCTGCTCACAATGTGGTCTCCTCTGCACTGGGGAGACAAAATGCAGAACGAGTGACCATTTTGCAGAACACTTAAATTTTGTATGTATAAATGACGCCATGCTTCTAGTTGCCGGCCACTTCAATAAACCACTGTGCTCCCACATCAACATTTCTGTCACAAGCCTGCTGCAGTAATCCAGCAAGCCTCAGTGTAAGCTCAAAAAAACAGCATCTCATTTTCTACTTGGGGAACTTGCAGTCTGTAGGACTCAACATTGAGGTCAATAACTGTTACATTACAGATTTTATGTCTAACATAATTAAAAATTATTTCAAAATTATCTATACATTAGAAATTCATCCTACAATTCATTTTTTAATATACTTTTCTAATTCAATTTAGCTTTTAACCCACTGGTGAAATAGTTTGGAACCTTAGGAGGGTAATCCACTTAATAATTGCCAGACCTTTTTTGTTTCAGAGTTTTTAGCAGCTCTTCACAGTACAGTTATGTATGAGAGTTACACAACTGGTTTCTCAAAATTAAAGCTCATGGGATAAAAGGGGCAGTAGCATCATAGATGCAGAATTAAGTGAGAGATAGAAAGCACTTGTGATTAAAGGCTGTCTTTTGGTTTGGAGGGAGTTGTACAGTGAAATTCTTCAATGGCCCATAATTATACCTGCTGTTTTGATATATCTTAATCACTTATAATTGTGGGCACAATTGAAGGCACAATTTTGAAATTTGCCAATGACAATATTTGGAAGTGCTGTAAACACAGAAGTAGTGATACACCTCAAGAAGTAATGCATTTTAGTTAGGAAAATGAAAAGAGACAACATATGGAATATGGTACAATGTTAAAGGCAATACACGACAGAGACGTGGTGGTGCCTGTGTTTAAATTTCTGAAGTTGCTGGGCTAAGTTAACAACGAAATCCATTGAGCAAGTGGGATTTATTTGTTCTATATATAGAGGCATGAATATGAAATCCAGGCAGTAAAAGTTATAAAACACAAATTTGGCCTCAGCTGGAATAGAATGTCAGTTCTGGGCAGTATGCTTTAGGAAGGATGTGAAAGCTTTAAAGAGGGTAAAGAGGAGATTTACTACAGATATTCCAGGAATGAGGGATTAAAGTTATGTGGATTAACCAGAAAAGCTAGAATTGTCCCTTTAGAGCAGAGCAAGATAAAGCAAGTGATGGAGGTATGATCTCCAGGTGACTATCATCGATGGTCATACCCTAACCCATCATGTGGTATTTCATTTCGGTAATACAATCAAAGGTTGGACTTATACAATTACAAGTAGGGCCTTGGGTAGTATTGTAAAACAGTGAGAACTAAGGATTCAGGCATCACAGGTAAATTGGGTGGTCAAAGCATGTTTAGCATGTTTGTCTTCATGTTCAGAGCTTTGAGTATAGGAGTTGGGATGTTAAGTTGATGTTGTGCAGGACGTTGCTGAGGCCTGTCCTGAAGTAATGTGCCCAGTTCTGGCTGGCCTGTTATAGGAAGGATATTATTAAACTGGAGAGTGTTCAGAAGAGATTTACCAGGATTTGATGCGGGGTTGGAGGGTTTGAGGTAAACGGAGAGGCTAGATAGGCTGGGATTTCCTTCACTGGAGTGTAGGAAGTTGAGGGATGATCTTATGGAGGTTTATAAAATCATGAGGGTTATAGGTAAGGTTAATGGCAGGTGTCTTTTTCCTAGGGTGAGGGATTTCAAGACTAGGGGCATATTTTTAAGGTGAGAGGAGAAAGATCTAAAAAAAGACACAAGGGGCAATATTTTTACACAGAGTGGTCTGTTTGTGGAATGAACTTCCAGAATAAGTGGTGCTTGCAGGTACAATTACAACATCTAAAAGATGTTTCGATAAGTACACGAGCAAGAAATGTTTGGAGGAATATAGGCCCAAGTGCAGGCAGGTGGGACTAATTTAATTTGGGATTATGGTCAGCTTGGACTGTTTGGACTGAAGGGTCTGTTTCTGTGGTGTATGACTTTATGACTATGATTCTATAACTTCAGAGACTGATTCCATCCTTCTCTGCCGTGATTTTTCTGTGATCAAATTTTTGACCCACACTTCATCTGAAATTAGTCAACTTCCAATGAGATTCCACTGCCACTAGATGTCAGTGCAGCCTTTGGAAGTGACATATTCTCCTGCGGCATTCATCAACAGGGTTGTACACAAATAACAAAATTCTGGATTCCTACATTTGTGTAGGATAGAGTGTTCCCAGAAAACAGATGCAGATGAAAAAGACATAGAGGCCAATCCAGAAAAAAAATTTACAGGCTTCCACTGTAAAAGCTGCTTTGTTAAATGATGCTGTCATCTGGATAATCCTGGTGATGACCAGTATTTAATACAACAATAACTTGTATTCATGTGGTCCCTTTAAGGTAGAGGGAAAAATAAGTGTCCTGGGAGACTTCACAGGCATGAGGTCAAGAACAGACGCTGTGAAAGATGGTTAAATTCAGAGGAGTGACCAAGATATTAGTTAATGAGCTGGTTTTAAGAGTAGTCTTAAAGGAGGAAAGGGTGATTGAACTATATGTATTAGCGACAAGAAAGATTTGTGTTGGCATTATGTCTTTCATGATCTCAGAAAGTGCTTTTACAGATACATAAATGCTTTTAAAATATTATACTGCCGACGTCAACTCAGAAGTCCCACAATGTTTGTGCTGGTATTGATAAATAAATATTGGCTGGTCAGCGAGGAGAGGTCTCCTGCTCTTCCTCAAAACAGTGCAAATGGATCTTTTGAGTTGTCCTAAGGTGGCAGACAGGATCTCTGTTCAAAATTTCATCTGAAGTACAGCCCTGTTTAAATTTCATAACTATGTAAGTAATAGGAGCAGAAATAGGCCATTCAACCCACTCAAGACTGCTCTGCCATTCTATAAGAATATCTGCCCCAGGCCTCAACTCCTCTTTCAGGCAAGGCCTTAACTCCTTGATATTTCAAAAATCTATTTTTCTTCTTTTTAAATACTTACGGTGATCTATCTTCCAAAATCACAGCCAGATTGTGGATGTTTTCAACAGATGAGGACTCAAAATCATATCACAGCATTTCAGTGATGATGCAGTCTAGCTACTAACCACTTATGCAACACTGGAAACCACCCCCCCACCAACCGTTCTTTGATTCTAACCATAAATTATTCACAACATAAACTATTTACATTTTTATTTTATTCGTACTTCCCCATCTGCTGAAGCCACTGTTTGGCTCTCTGAGTCAGAGAGAAAGACATTGCAGTCGCTTGACTAATTTGACTATCTCCTCATTTCTCTTGGAGGAGGATAGGAATGCATGCATCCAGTGCAGGAGAACGTGAACAGTTTACTAAGGTGGTTAGGGTGTCTTCCCATTCACCAGGGTGGTCAATCCAGGTCTGTAAAGACTATTTCCTGATAGACTCTAAAGCCATCTTAGAATGCTGTGGTCAGCATTGATTAAGAATAAGGTGTCGCTGAAGGCCTCAGTACTCAGCCAAAACTCAGATCCAGACAGATTCCTCAGGGCAGATTGCTGGCAGTTCCCATACTTTAAGGCTGCAGTTAAAACAACAGCCTGCTTTGAGCTCTACTGATCCTTCTTCTGTCTGACCTTATTCAAGTTAGCCTCTATGATACCTGGTTGGAGAGTATGCAGGAACCTCAGAAGCCTAGTGTGTAATGTCCCACCCATTAGGAGCTCTGAAGGAGTTGTACTGTGTGGTAACTTAGCAAGGCCAAGACAATGTTGTAATTTTTCTTCAACAAGGCCTTGACAGTACAGAGCCCCTATTCAGACTCACCAGTGACTTGTGGGCATTGAGGTGAACTGGTGACAAGTACAAAACAGTAAGACCGTTTGAAGCAGTGATTAGTGACTTATAGACCATAAGACCATTCACCATAAGATGTAGGAGTAGAAATAAGTCATTCAACCCATCGAGTCTGCTCTGCCATTCAATGAGATCTGATAATCCTCAACTCTATTTTCCTGCCTTTTCACCATAAACCTTTATTCCCTTACGGATTAAAAGTCTGTCTGTCTCAGACATGAACTTTCTTAACGAGCCAGCCCCTACAACCCTCTGCTGTAAAGAATTCTACAAATTCAGTATCCTTGGAGAGAATAAAATCCTCCTCAGTTCTGTCCCAACTGGGTGCCCTCTCATTCTGGGATTATGCCCACTGGGTTCTGGTCTCCCTGACAAGGGGAAACAACAATTCTGCATCTACCCTGTCAAGTCCCCAAAGGATCTTACATTTTGCAAAAAAGGTCACCACTCATTCTAAACTTGAGTGAGAACAATCCCAACCTACTCAACTTCTCCTCATTGTGAAATCCCACCATGCCTGAGAACCTAGTCAATGTTCTTTGGGCTGCCACAAATGCCAGTATATCTTTTCATAGAAAAAGGAAACCAGAACTGTTTACAATATTCCTAGTCTGATTGGACTCGTGTCTTGTATAGTTCTAGAAACACCTGTTTGATACTCCATCCCTTTGAAAAGGCCAACACTCCATTTGCTTTTCCCGTTACCTGTTGAATTTGGATGCTAACTTTTTGTGATTTATGCACAAGAACTCCAAGATCCCTCTGTGCTGTAGGTTTCTGCAGTCTTCCTCCATTTAAATAATATTCAACTCTTCTATGCTTCCTGCCAGAGTGCATGACCTTACAATTTTCTACATTTTATTCCTTTCCATGTATTTTTGTGTCATCTGCAAACTTGGCCATAGTGCATTCAGTTTCTTCATCCAAAATATTAATATACATTGTAAATAATTGTGGCCCCAGGATTGATCCCAGTGGCACTGCACTGGTTATAGTTTGTCATGGTGAAAAAGTCCCCCTTATCCCAATTTCTGTCTTCTACCAGTTGCTAATCCTGCATCAATGCTAATATTCTACCTCCAACACCAAGGAGTCTTATTATGCAGCTTAACATAATGGTACCTTATTAAATGCCTTCTGGAAATTCAAATATATACATCCACAGCCTCCCCTTTATTAATCCTGCTAGTTACATCCTCAAAGATTCTTAAAAAATTTTCAAGTATGATTTTCTCTTCATGAAATCAAGCTGACCTCGCTTGATTACATTATGTATTTTCTGCTATGCAATTGCATCCTATATAATAGACTCTAACATTTTCTCAAAAATAAATGTTAAGCTAACTGGCCTGTAGTTACCTGTTTTTTGTCGCCTTCCCTATTTGAATAACACTGTTACATTAGCAGTTTTCCATTCCTCTGGGACTTTATCCAAACTTAAGGATTCCTGGAATATTACTACCCGCGCATCAACTGTCCATGTAACTACTTTTAATGTCCAAGGATGTGTCACATCAGGTCCAGGGCCTTATCAGTCTTTAGTCCTATTTGTTTCCCTCATACTGTTAGTGATAGTTATTGTATTTCATAGAATCATCCAAATACTTTTAAAGGTTGTGAGGTTACCCACTATCCTCCAGGCAATGCATTCCAGATTCTCACCATCCTCGGGGTGAAAATAATTTTCCTTAAGTACCCCGTAAACCTCTTGCCTTTCACTGCAAAGGTATGCCCCCCCCTTGTTATGTATTTCCTCTCTCTTTTCTGCTACCTGATTATTTAATAATTTTTGAATTGTATTAGTGTCTTCTGCTGGGAAGACTGATGCAACGTATTTATTCAACTCGGTTACCATTTCCAGTTTCCCCATTATTATTTCCCCAGCCTCATTCTCCAAGGATCTTTGGTCTCTCTGTCTTCAATTTTATCTTTATATAAAGAAACTGTTGCTGTTGGTCTTGTTATTACTTGAAAGTTTACCCTCAAAGTTTATTTTCTCCCTGTTCATTATATTTTTGGTCATCTTTCGTAGGTTCTTAAAACTTTCTCTGGCTTACACTAACATTTGCAACATTGTATGTTTTTCTCTTCAACTTGATGATATCCTTAATTTCCCTGGTTAGCCATGATTGGCTTTTTCCCTTACTAGAAGCCTTCTTCCTCACTGATTTGTAATGAGCCATGACCTCTTTTCTTAAACATTTACCATAATTCCTCAGCCATCTTTACTGCTAAATTCCTTTCCCAATCATTGAAATCTGAGGGTTGAGGTGTGGAATGCAAGGCACTGCCAAGGCAGACTGATCTAAGCTGGTCTATTCAAATAAAAACTAATGAACAAGGCTGACAGTTGATGTATGGAGGGGGTTCAGGTTGTTGTATTTGTGAAGTTTTAGCAGGTACACAGTTTAACGAACTTTCTTCTTGTCCACAGTCGGGGTACGACCCGAGGATCCAGCAGCGATGATATTGGCTAAATCCATCATGGAATGTGAAGGTGTGAAGCTAGCAGGGGTATATGCACATTGTGGGAATTCCTACCGTGCAACTGGATTGGAGGAGATTCAAGCTATAGCCCAGGAAACCACCACAGCCACCCTGGAATTTGTGCAGAAGTAAGAGCTTTTTGTTTTCAAAATAATTTAATCTTTTGTTTCTTCTGGGGGTTTCAGAGGGGAGGGGAGCAGCAGACAGTATTGGTTAACCCAAGGTACCAACAGTGGCAAGGGCTGCAATCTTAGTTCCAAATGCTGGGATGTTCTGTGCCCCAACCCCACTCCACAGACTTGAGAAAACTCAGGCTGTCAGTGCGATGCTGAGGGACTGTTGCATTGCCAGAGGAGCCATCTTTGAGATGTAATGTGTAATCCAAGGCCCCACCTACTTTCTCTTTAGATACAAAAATGTCACATGTCATAATTTTGCAGTTACATGGGAGTTATCCCTGACAATGTGGCCTGTTTACCTTTAGTCAATACCAGTAAAAACAGATTATTTGGTCGTGATCACATTGCTATTTGTTGGATCTTGCTGTGCTCAAATTGGCTGCTGTGTTTCCTTAATTACCACGGTAACTACAAAAGTACTTCATTAGCTGCAAAGCGCTTTGGGACATCTGAAATTGTGAAAGGCACTATGTTAATGTCTGTACAAGCTTTCAGCATCTGTGAGTCATTTAAAAACCACAGTTGGAATCCACAGTCTCATGATTCTCCTTTATCCCTAAAACACATCAGAACTGGCATTCTAATGTGGGATTTTATCCACTGATGATGCAACCCTTTCCAAACCTCCAGGGCCAGGAAGCTGAAACAGGGCAAAACAGTGAATTGGAATAAAAGCAAAAAACAGGACTGGGTTTCATGGGTCACATTTCCAGAGCCCAGCTGTCTGGACAATTCTGAATCAACACTCTCTGTCTGTTAAGCCACTTACTTGGGCACTGGGCAGCTTCCAACATCTCATTTAAATAGTCATTATGTCACGTCCAAGTCTAGGTAATGTGTGCCAGCAGGAAACTGGACTTGCCCTCACCTGATGTTCACCAGCCTCAAGAGAGTTACAGTTATAATTATGATGACAATTACAATTATAATTACAACATTTAAAAGGCATCTGGATGGGTATATGAATAGGAAGGGTATAGAGGGATATGGGCCAAATGCTGGCAAATGGGACAAGATTCATTTAGGATATCTGGTTGGCATGGACAAGTTGGACCGAAGGGTCTGTTTCCATGCTGTACATCTCTATGACAATAACTTAAGGACACAAAGATAGCATAAAATTACAAAGGGATATTGATAGACTAAGTGAGTGGGCAAAACTGTGGCAAATGGAGTTAAATGTAAGCAAGTGTGAGGTTAGTCATTTCACTGAAAAAAGATAGATCAGGATACTTTCTAGATAATATGCAGTTAAATACAGGGGGTATCCAAAGCCACTTGAGTGTTCAGGTGCATGGTTCTTTAAAATGCCACAAGCATGTGCAGAAAATAATCAGGAAAGCTAATGGAAAGCCAGCTTTTACCATCTAGAGGACTGGAGTACAGGATGCAGAAGTTATGCTGCCGTTATACAAAACCCAGATTAGACCCCACTTGTAGTACTGTGTATAGATCTAGGCACCATACCTTAGGGAGGATATAGTGGCTTTGGAAGGGTAATTTAAGTTTACAAGAATGATACCTGCATTTGGGGGTTAAGTTACAAGGTGAGATTATACAAATCAGTCACTCGGAGACAGCAAGAACTGCAGATGCTGGAGTCGGAGTCAGAGTCAATACCGTGCAGAGTGAGAAGAACACAGCACGTCAGGCAGCATCAGAGGAGCAGGAAAGTCATCAAGACTGAGGAGGGGGAAGGGAGCTCGGAAATAAATAGAGGGAGGAGGGGTGGGGCTGGGGGAAGGTAGGTGGAATGGTGGTAGGTGGATGAAGATAGGGGGTAGTGGGGACTGGTCAGTGGGAAGGGTAGGGCAGATAGGTGGGAAAGAAGATGGACAGGTAGTGTCAGTTCAAGGAGGTGGGGATGAGCGGGAGGGTTGGACATGGGATGAGGCCGGGGGTGGGGAGATTTTGAAACTGGTGAATTCTATGTTGAGGCCATCGGGCAGAATGTGAGGTGCTGCTCCTCCAGTTTGTGTGTGGTGTCATTGTGACACTGGAGGAGACCCAGGATGGACATGTCACCCAGGGAGTGGGAGGGGGAGGAGTTAAAATGGTTGGCAACCAGAATAATCAACAGCACCCTGCAGATGCTCCAAGCTGGGCTTTCCTCAAGAAGGCTCGCTCTCCCCCAGGCTGAACTAAGACCTGCCTGGGCATGCCAGGCTTCATCGCTGGTCAGGCTCACGCAGGGCCCTAACCTCTGCTAGTCACTGCCAGTTTTACCAACCCTTGAGGTCCACACTGGGCCCACTCTCCTCTGCGCTGGGCTTGCTGGAGGTCTGAAAGGTCCACCGCCTATGCCATTTGAGCTCAAGAGGTTAGTAGTAAGGAAGATAGAAGATAGAAAAAAAAACCAGGAGAAAAAAAGAAACGAAAAGCAGTCAGAGTGGACAAACTCTGGCTCAGGAGCCCTGCCCCGCCGCCATCTATAGTGCTGTGGTTCAAAGATGGCGCTGGCATCAGGGATCCTGCGACACCCTGACAATATTGAATACACCCCCCTCCCCTCTACAGCAAGTGGGAATACTCAGGCCTGTTTCGGACGAGTGGGCTGTGTGGGTGATAGGGGTGTGGCACATTGTTACCAAACTGAGTTTGGGACAGTAGACACAAGAAAACTCAGCAGGTGTCACAGAGAAAAACCCTCCGTGAAACTTGACAAAAATGATTCTCGGCCAATTTCTGGTAGAGTTCAACCCAGAGATTTTCTCTGCAGAAACTTTACTTGCAACCTTCAAAACATTGCCCCTCGCTGCCCCATGCCCCCAAGACAGCTGCAGCTCTGCAACATTGGGAGATTTTATTTTGAACAGGCTTCAAGTAATAGCAGTCTTTGAACTCGACCTTATCAAACAGCAGGGCGGTGGGGTTGTTAGGGAGATTTTTGAGTGATGATGAAGGCCTGTGAATGTAAAAGAGGCTTGTCGCTGTTCTGCGAGATAATTGCTGCTTCCAAAATGTGAATTGTTAAGTGTTTAACAGCCTCTTGCAACATTTCCTTTTCCCACCCCTCCCCCCCCCAGGGTCTTGCTGTGCAATCCTTTCGTGCAGATACTACAACCTTTAATTACTTTCTGCCTCTGATGTCTAACAAGTATCAGGTTACAGGTTTCAAGCAGGAGAGAAATCATCAACCCAACACTGTTATTTTCTCCCTTTGTCTGACTGTCAATTCCCAGTCAGTGCAAGAGAGGTGTGAAGCAGAGAGGAAATGGCAATAACACCTTTATTAGAATGAGACAGAGCACAGAAATTTTAGGGTTTTATATGTGCTTCACTCTGAGCTACAGGATCACAAAATTGAGGCCATTTGGCCCATCTGAATTCATTCATTCAGATACTGGACACAGCCACATTGTACCAGTCAGGAGTACAATTTCAGGATTCTACTACTTGATTTAATTGTCCATTTCTATGATGATTACTCTGTGTAAAGGAGAATTTCCATACATGAGCCTTAACATAGCTTTTCACTAATTTAAATCTTTGTTTTTTTGTCCTACTCTCACAATTTAAAGTCATTTTCTGGAGGTACTTTTATTTGTTCAATTAGCAATCTTGCACAAAAAATGACCTCATCACCATCTCCTTTCCAGGCAATTAAGTCCAAATTTCTACAATTATTCCTCATAGTTCAGTTTCTTGATAATGTGATCAATTTTCTCTATACAGTTTCTAGCAGTTAAAGTCTGCTTTATATCTCGATGACTAAACTGAACTAATGTTTGCATAAGGTCCCACAAACAGAAATATCATGCACTATTAATGACACAGTATACCAGTTAATTGAAGAAGGGTAATACCTGAAACATTGACTGCTGCTTTCTTCCAGATGCTGCCTGGCTTGCTGTGCTCTTCCAGCCTCCTGGTTGTCTACTAGTTAATTGTGTTTGATTACATTCAGATGAAGGTCTTTAATTGGGGTTTCACTTGAGCACATTTAAAGAGCTATTTTGAGGATCTTTTAGTGGCCCTACCTCTAGACCAGAGAGTCTGGGTTCAAGTCCTGCCTCAGATTGTGATGGCCAAGAAAGTGTGTCGTGAACGTTCTCATCGGTTGGTTGTACACAAAAACGTAGAGCCATTTGGGAGATCTTGTGGCATGTTATTTATATCCATACTGTTGGATAAATTCTAGACCAGACAGTTACCTGATATCACAATGTGACTTTCCAGTATAAAGGTACCTGTCTTGTCTTCAGTCACTCTCTCTGCATAATGAAGTCAGTCAGCTATGTGTGTGTAATGCACAATAACAACAGTAAACACTCAACCCATATTAAGTATGTACCTCTGTGATTTTGTACCCTTGTAAATAGTTAGTATTGTAAATAAACTTCAAGATATCTGAGTGAACAAGAATCTGACTATCAGTGGTATGTGTTACATGGACTGACATGTAGAAAACCACAAACTGCATCATTGTGGCAGTATATGGGAACTTAAATCTTCTTGCGACAGTGGGAGTAAGTGGATGCTAAACGCTGATAGGTAACAGCAGCATGACAGTCAAAGATAGATAAATTCTTGATTAATATGAAAGATCATCGGGGATATGCAGGAATGTTGAGTTGAGGTTCAAATCAGATATGCCATGATGTTATTTAATGTAGAGCAGGTTGTAAGTGCTAAATCACCTACTCTTGTTCCTTGTTCACATGCTTGTATGTTCATACTTGTCAAAAGTCTTCTTCCTAACAGTCACTCATCAATCTATCTGAGTTCAGAGCTGAAGTTACCACTACAACCAAGACTAAAATGTTACAATCAAAACTGAAGGCTATGAACATATAGTGAAGCACAGTGATTACTCTATCTTCCTCTCCTTTCTTAAAAAAAAGCACTTTTCAAAAGGACAGGTTCAAGCTTAAAAAATTAGAAGAACAAAAATAACAGGAAAAAAAACACTGAAAAAGACAGTTTTCTCATTACAAAAGACTTACCTG